GAAACAGCTTTCCAGCCTTGATTTCATTTATGGAAAATACTTCTTGACTGCGTCAGAGTTTACAGGTTTTGACAACTCGTGGCCATCCATTTCCACTAACACTAAAGCACCACCTGGCAGGATCTTTTTGATGACATAAGGGCCTTCATAAGTCGGGGCAAATTTGCCATGAGGGTCACGTACAATTGATATCACCTTCCTCAATACCAAGTCGTTGACTTTGAGGTGTCGGGGACGAATTTTTCGATTGAATGACTTCGCTACTCGTTTCTGATAGCATTGACCGTGACATATGGCTTGTAATCTGCTCCCATCGATCATGTTCAACTGTTCATGCCTTTGTCGTACCCATTCAGCCTCATCAAACTTTGCCTGAGAGAGAACCCTTAAGGACGAAATTTCGACTTCCACAGGTAGGACCGCTTCCATTCCATATACTAACGAAAAAGGGGTTGCTCCAGTCGAGGTGCGGATCGATGTCCGATATGCCATCAATGCATATGGAAGTCTTTCATGCCAATCGCGATAATTCTCAGCAGTCTTTGATAATATCCTCTTTATGTTCTTATTTGCCGCTTCAACTGCCTCGTTCATTTGAGGGCGGTATGGTGATGAATTAAGATGCCGGACCCGAAATGTATCGAGCAATCCATCCACGATCTTGTTGTTCAGATTGGAGCCATTGTCAGTGATGATTGCTTCCGGAACTCCGTAACGGGCGATGATATCGCGGCGAATGAACTTGGCCACGTTCTTTGCGGTGACATTAGCATATGAATTGGCCTCAATCCACTTCGTAAAGTAGTCGATTGCTACTAAGATAAATCTGTGTCCGTTTGACGCCTTAGGGTTGATCGGTCCAATCATATCTATCCCCCACATGGAAAACGGCCAAGCTTGAGACATCTGATGGAGTTTGTTCGGCGGAGCATTAATCCTATCTCCATAAATTTGACATCGATGGCAGCATCGCACATGCTGAATACAATCAGATTCCATGGCCAACCAATAGTACCCGAGTCGCATGATCTTCTTTGCTAGGAGATGGCCGTTCATGTGGGGGCCACATTCCCCTTCATGTATCTCTTTCATCAAACGATTGGCCTCTTTCGCGTCAATACATCTCAGTAACACTGAGTCATAATATCTTTTGTAAAGTGCGTCCCCGCTAATGAAGAATTTTGAGGCCAGCTTCATCAGATATTTCCTGTCTGATGCTTCACTTCCTTGAGGGAACTCACCTTTCTGCAGGTAATTCAGAATGTCATGGTACCATGGTCCTCCATCAGGCTCTTCTTCAATTACCATACAATAGGCTGGACGCTTAAGGATTTCAATCCTTAATGGTTCGATATCCAAGCCTTTTGTTGCTTGCAGCATTGACGATAACATGGCTAAAGCATCAGCGAACTGATTCTGAGACCGGGGTAGGTAATCGAATGATATTTTTTGGAATTCTTTCACCAGCTCTTCCAGAAACTCATGATACGGGACTAGTTTTGGATCCTGCGTTCGCCACTTGCCTTCGGTTTGCAGGATAATGAGGGCCGAATCGCCATAGACTTCCAATTTTTGGATCCCCATGTCAACAGCAGCTTGGAGGCCAAGGATACACGCTTCGTATTCCACGATGTTATTCGTGCAAGGGAAAGTCAATTTGGCAGCCACGGGGTGGTGCTGACTATCCGGGGAGACGAGAACTGCCCCAGTACCGGAACCAGATAAGTTGACTGCACCATCAAAGTACATGGTCCATTTGTTATTCGACGCAAATAAGATTTGCCTATCCATGTCACCATCTTCATCGGGGTCTTCCGCTTTTTCAGGATTTTCCGCTAACATGTCCGCTATGGCTCTGCCCTTTACGGACTTTTGCCCCAGGCTTTGCACGTCGAATTCTGAAATTAGAATCTGCCACTTGGCCAGCTTCCCCACCAAGGCTAGCTTCTCTAAGAGATACTTGATTGGATCATTCTCAGTTACTAGCAGAACTTGGTGATGGAGGGTGTATTGGCGTAGCCTGTGCAACACCCAGACCAAGGCTGCGCACGTCTTCTCAACCTCCGGATAGTTCGCCTCGGAGGTAGTGAATTTCTTGCTGAGATAATATATTGCGCGTTCCTTCCCATCGTCCGGCCTTTTTTGGGCCAGCATGGCTCCCAGCGATTCATCATGGATAGTTAGATACAAAATTAATGGAACTTCGGGCACTGGCGGGACCAGGATCGGGGAATGAGTCAGATAATACTTTATCTTTTCAAAGGCATCCTGACATTCGGCGTCCCATTCGATTTTCGCATTCTTCTTCAAGAGTTTGAAAAATGGCCTTGCTGTTTCTGACAACTGGCAGATAAATCTTGCCACATAATTTAACCGTCCCAACAAACTGCGGACTTCTTTGACAGTGGCCGGAGGCTGTAAGTCGCAAATGGCCTTTACCTTCGACGGGTCAATCTCGATGCCTTTGTTGCTGACCATAAACCCTAACAACTTTCCAGACTTTGCCCCAAATACACATTTCGCGGGGTTGAGGCGCAACTTAAACTTTCAGAGGCGATCAAACAACTTTTGCAAAACTTCGACATGGTCTTCGTCTCGTCTTGATTTCGCAATCATATCGTCTACGTACACCTCGATCTCCTTGTGCATCATGTCGTGAAATAACGCGACCATGGCCCTTTGATATGTTGCCCCGGCGTTTTTCAGACCGAAAGGCATCACCTTGTAGCAAAAGGTCCCCCACGGGGTTATAAACGAGGTCTTGCTCCTATCCTCCTTCTTCATACGGATTTGATTATACCCTGAAAATCCATCCATGAAGGAGAACAATTCGAATCTTGCAGTACTATAGACCAAGACATCTATATGTGGGAGTGGAAAGTCATCCTTCGGACTAGCTCGATTTAAGTCGCGATAGTCCACACAGACCCTGACTCGACCGTCTTTCTTTATCACTGGTACAATGTTTGATATCCAATCGGAGTAATGCGACACTTCGATGAACCCCACTTTTAGCAATTTCATAACCTCTTCCTCGATTTTCTTGGACAACTCTGGCTTGGTCCTTCGGAGTCTTTGCTTCCTTGGCAGTATGTCAGGGTCAGTTGATAGAGCATGCTCTACAATCTCTGGATCCAATCCCGGCATGTCAGCGTACGTCCAAGCGAACACATCCTGATATTCTTTAAGAAGGCGAACCATTCTTTCGACCTCTGCTTTCGAAAGACTTGCCCCGATCTTTATTTCCTTGACATTTTCATCATTATCCAAGTTTATGGTGATTGTTTGCTCCACTGTTAATGGCCTTGATTCCTCATGTCGCTTCCATTCACGCTCAATCCCCTTCGGATCATTGTCATCGCTATCGATATCTGAGAGATTCCCTTCATGCAAATCCGAATCACATGCGTCCTTACCATGATTATGCATAATTTGATGCCTGAGATGTGATGAGATGAGTTAGGACACAAAACATGGTACATGCCATTTTGAAAATGCTTTTGAAATTTTTTGGAAAAGGCTTTTAAGAGCTCATCCTCATGTCATCGGATTTCCTTGCTCATGAAGACTATGAAAACAGGGAGCACGTGGGACCCCAGCCCTCAGCGACCATCATAGGACTAGTTTGGTACGGTTCCACGTGTCCTTAATAAAACATGCACGCATTTCATTGAATTAAAAGGATAAGGCCGCATTACAACACATACCGCCCCGAACCAACGGCTCAAGATTCGGGGCTAAACAAAGTTTTCATTACAAACGAGTTTAGATTAGCAAATTGAAACAACGCTAAGCTCCCACGCAGGGGAGAGAACATAAAGCAAATAACAACACTAACGGGAACCGCCCTACTCTGCAGGGTCGGCGACACTTCCAGAAGATTCAGCTTCTTCACACGTCAGGATAGTGCATATGACATTCTCCTCGAATAGCTTAGCTATACTGTCGATGGCCGCCTCTTCCTCATGTAGCATCTTCGGAGGCCCGGGGAACATCTCTTTCAATAGGGGGAGTAATAGGCCTTGGCAGCCTTTTTCCACTCCAATATGTCCGCCATGGTCCCCCTGACCTGCGCCTCGGCCTCCTTGGTTGCCCCGGCCTCCGTCGCTACCTCGACCTCCACAACCACTTCGGCCTCCATTGTTACCTCGACCCCTAGAGCCGCCTCGGCCTCCGCGATTACCTCGGCCTCCATCATTGCCTCGACCTCCGTTGTCCCGACTTTCACGATTGCCTCGGTCTCCATTATCTTGGCTTCTCTGATACCCTAAGCCTTCCCTCTTCGCACCTTTTCCGACTTCGATGGGTTTCCGAATCCCTTGCCCATGCAATCCAAGGCCTTCCCCGTGGTTGTACCCGTTTGCGAGCATAATTTTTCCAGCTGCTAGAGTTGGCTTGGACAGTTCAGGAGTGCCCATGAGTGAGCCAACGGGAACGTGGACCATAGATACCAATTCCAGAGTTTGGAAACTGGATTCCTCTTTGCATTCGGGCTCCACGTACGGGATGGCTGTCTCGTGATAGACTTTGAAGTCTGTTTCTCCATGTACTGTAACAAGCTTGCCGTCGACCACAAACCGCACCTTCTGATGGAGACTAGAGGGTACAGCACCCGCGGTATGAATCCATGGTCTTCCTAATAGAAAGTTGAATGCACTCGGGATGTCTAGTACCTGAAAAAGCATCAGAAACGTCACGGGACCGACCAGGAGTTCCAACTCTATCTCTCCTATTACTTCCCTTCTAGTGCCGTCGAACGCTCGTACGGGATTTTTGGCAGTACGCATCTTCCCTAGATCGACCTTTAAGAGACGGAGAGTGGCTAACGGGCATAAATTCAAAGCGGAGCCATTATCGATCAATGTCCTTGCGACCATCATATCGTGATACTTAACTGAAATGTACAAGGCTTTATTATGATTCCGGCCCTCTACCGGAAAGTCTTCGTCCGCAAAAGAGATTTGATCCTTCAACAGGATGGTCCCCACAAATTCCTCTAACTAGGCTTCGTCGATCGTCTCCGGGACATGAACCTCGTTAAGGACCTTTAATAAGGCATCCTTGTGTTTCTCAGAAGATTTGAAAAGATCCAGGAGAGAGATTTGGGCTGGCATTTTCCGCAGTTGGTTTACCACGTTGAATTCACTCGTTTTTATTACTGCCAAAAATTGCTTTGCGTCTTCTTCGGTCACTGCTTTTTTCTCAATTCCCCCGGCAGGCGCATAGCAGCGACCTGATCGGGTGATAGCATCCACTTCATCCGTTTCGTAATCCCACGGGACCGCCTTAGTATTGAAATCCGGAGGGGCTTCAAGGATTATGGCCCCTTCTTCTTCTAGGGGTGGCAGCTCAATTACAACTCGCGTCATATCCTCCCTTCCAACCTGGATTGCTGATAATTCTTCAGTTGCGAGATCAATTATCACTGGCTCGACATCCTCCACCTCCTGATCACTAGCATAATCTTCATCAGAGAAGTATATCACGACCAGTGTTGTCATGGCGACTAATCCCTGTCCCATATCAGCACTCCAAATTACGCCCATGCTCATCATTCTACGAACATAGTCTAATTTTTCTTCCATCATCACATCCTTTCCTCCTTCGTGGTGTCCAGCTAGCTGAAGAATTTCGTATAGCCTTGGGATGTTCACCATGAAGGTTTGTTTGCTCACATTCGCTTTTTCGAACACCACATTTACGCCCTCGGCATGGTCGGGCAAAGGATTTTGCTTCACATTGGGTCGCGCTCTCTCGAACGATAGAATTCCCTTGTCCAACAAGTTTTGAATCTTAATCTTTAGTGCAAAGCAATTGTCCGTGTCATGCCCCCTTTCCCCCCGGTGGTATTCGCATGTCTTAGTCATGTCAAACCCAGGGAACCTTGGAGGATTGTCCCTAGGTACTTCTTTGGCTACCATCCTCCTCTCAATGAGCATGGGCAACAACTTTGACAAGTATTTTGGCAGCGGGGAGAATTCCCTATGAGGAAATCTCTTATTTCGATCATACCCTTGGGGCGCATGCCCTTGTACGATTGATGGCTTTTGTGGGGGTGCTGAGAAAGACTTAGACGGTTCTTGGACAAATGCGACTTCGACAGCAGTTTCCTTGTTCTTCTTTGTTGGGAATCCTTTGCTATTCCCTGCGGGCATTCTCCCATCGACAATAGCCCATTCTACCCCTTCGCCCACTTCCACCAGTTGGGAAAATGTTTGACATCCAGAAGTTAACATTCCGTGAAAATACTCAGGTGGCAGGGTTTTCAGAAAAAGTTGCCTCATCTCCCTCTCGATCAGCGGGGGCTTTACTTGTGATGCCATTGTCCTCCATCTTTGAGCGAATGCCTTGAAAGGTTCATTCCTTCTCTTTTCTAGCTGAACCAAGTCTTCTCTCGTGGGGATGATTTCAGAGTTGAACCTGTACTGCTGAAGGAACTCTTCGGCAAGATCTTCCCATGCTGTGATCGTCTCAACATCCAGCGCAATGAACCATGACAAGGCAGGGCCAATCAAGCTATCTTGGAAGGTCTGGATGAGGAGTGGTATGTTGTCGGAATAACGAGCCATTTTTCTCAAGTAATACTTGAGATGAGTCTTAGGGCAACTGGTGCCATCATATTTCATGCTAAATTCCGGTTCCTTGAAGGTTTCAGGGACTTTCACTTTAGCATACGGAGATAACTTATCAACCCCTCGCATCTCGTACCCTTGAAGAACACAGAGTCGTTCCTCCATCTTGGCTAGGCGCCTTGCGCTTTCCTCATCGAGGCGGGAGATAGGCTCCTTCCTTGGAACAGGGTCCAGATTTACAATGATCGGTGTGACAGAAGGGGAATCTGATGCTGTCCCCTTTTCAGGAGGATCCGTGGCATGTGGATCAATGGCTAATGGGGGAGTATGCCCTGACGAGGTGGGGACAGAAGCCTCGGTGGCATGTGCAGGCGGAGGATCCTTGAGTTTCTGACTTATTTCGGCCATCATGGCGGTAAGTTGGGCCAGTTGGTTTTCCATGTTGGTCATGCGCGTATTGGCTTCTTCGCTCTCCATTCTGACTTTTGCACGGGTTCGGATCGGGGATCTCCTTTTAGCCGTCTCGGTTATCTTGGTGGAACGGATGCACCAGCTAAAGCCCGGTTGTGACGGCTACAGGAAAAAGCTCCTCAATCTCGATTTCACTCTCCGCGCGTTGATTGAGCTCGAATTGACAAATACGGACGGTTCGTAATCACCTGAATCATAAATAAGCAAGCATACATAAGCACATGATTCATATAGAATACCGGTCCATGACAATGGTCTAGCCGCTTTCATTCATTAAAATGTTCTTAATTGAGTAACACTCCTAAACTTGAAAAGTGAACTAAAAATTGAAAACTCAAAGCTCCTAAACGTCAAGCTAATAAAACAAAATAAGATAAAATAAGAATCCTAAGACAGATGAACTAAAAACGGAATGACTAAACCCAAAACGACAAACTCAATCTATCCTACTCCTCTTGATCTATATGCGAATGGGAAGCCAATGCTCGACGCAACTGCCTATTCTCCTTGGCAACACGCTTCAAGCTTTCTTCGGCCTTCTCTGTTTTCCTCTTGAGATAGTTGATTTCTGCTTGGCGCGTTGGCTTCTTGGTCACGTCCGGGATCTTTGGGAGAAACTCGGTCAGGATCTTATGCCGACGGATGTATCGGGCCGTGGCATAATAAGTCTTTTCTTTCCCTTCGAGCTCGTCTTCAGGCCAATTTAACTTCTGAGCATGGCAGGCGAGCCAAGCCTGTTCAGCATGGCGAAGCTCTCTTTTGTAATCTCCTCCTTTTCTGGTAAATCGGACTTGTAGCGAATCTGGCTTGAGAGGAGGTGGTAGATCCTGGACGACCCGATATTGGCGGGCCACTCGGAGCGGGTAGTAGGAAGTGATGCCGGTGATTCTGTAACATCCTGAATTTTGACCCGTTACCGGGACCAATGAAGTGTATGTTAATGCTCGTTTGATTTTAGTAAGTCGCGCTCTAAACCCAATTTAGGACTTCGGGTATCAACGGGTGATTTTGGGCGAAATCTGTATAAAGTTAGGTGCGGAATGGTATGAATTGGTAGTGAAAATTTTATGGCGGGCCTTGGGATTTAATTCAGGCATTAATTATTGGAAATTAGAAAATAACAGTGGCTGTGATCTTTTGTTCATGGGGTCGTGATGGGCCGATCGGGACACAAGTTGGGTTTTTAGAACCGGTATTTTATGGCGAGAAAGTTCCGTGAAGGATCGGAATTAATCCGATGCCGTTTGGTGGGAGAAAAATGAGAATTTACGGTTTTACCCCTCAAAATTTCCGGACTAATTTTCGAGGGCTTAAAGAATGATTTTTTTTAAGGATCCGACACCATATTATGCTGGTCATGCATATATAGGACCGGTATGGACAAAAATTGGAATTTCGGTTCGGGATCGAAAAATTACGAAAATGCCCCTAGGGCTATTTTGGCTAATTCCGAAAATTGGACAAATTTGGGGGAATTAACCAAGGTTAATTAGGCTAAACCAGGTCTGGTCAGCCTTTGGTTAGGGGCAAATGACCATTCTACCCTTGAATTATTGGATGAGTATGAATCATGACCATTGGATCAAGGGCAAAAGTGTCTAAAGGCCTAGGATCTTGACATGTGGAATCCACTAGCTCAAATTTGACCCATTTTGACCAGCCCTTTCTCTCTCTCTTCAGTCACTCACGCCAGCTTTCTCTCTCTCTCCCGTCCCCCCCTTGAATGCCGTTCTCTTCCTCCTCCGTTCCTCTTCCGTTTCTGCTCAGCCAGCTACTGTTCACGCCGGAGCAAGCCACACCGCCGGAGCTGCTGGCCGTCTGACCACCACCGTCGCCCCAGCTGACCAGCACCGCCTCACCCTTCCTTTCTCTTCCCTTTTCTATTCAGCCGAGTATCATCGCCACCGCCGGCTTGCCCCCGGAACGCCGCCGTCGATTTTTACCGTGTGTCGGTGATCGACCGCCCGTTCTCGTCGTCCCGAATCGGAATTAGGCGAGTATAAATCCCTAAACCCTTAATTAGTTTAATTGTGCATTTTAGAGGGTAATTAGGGGGTTAACTAAGCCTAATCATGGTCTATTTAGGTCTAATGTTGTGTGGGGTGATTAGGGGACCTAATTAATGCCTAATGAGATGATTTAATGGTGGATTAAGGCCCAAAACAGCCCTTGTTCTGGTACTGTTCACAAAGTACCGAAAATGTGCATATTTGTCTAAGTTTTGCACAAATTGAATTCAATGATTCAAGGCTTGGAATTAAATAATTAAGGTGTTAATTAGGCTCATTTGACGCTTAATTAGGTGTATTTGGTGGTTGGATGTTTAGGGTAAGTGATTAGGCCCTAATGAGATAGTTTAAAGGTGGTTTAGTACCTAAATGTGAATTTTTCCTGGTACTGTTCATGGAGCTCCGAAATTGTGTAAAATTGTCTAAGTGTGGCACTAATTAAGTTCAAGTACTAATGACTTGGAAGTGGACATTTTGGGGATTATTTAGGCTTATTTGAAGCTTAAGTAAGTGTATTTGGTTGTTGGGTGATTGGGGTTTGAGATTAGAGCTTAATGAGGGTGTTTAATTATGGTTTAGTGGACAAAATGTGTCCTCCCCTGGTACTGTTCATTCAGTACCGAATTTGTGAAATTTATCCAAGTTGAACATTGAATGGTTTATTGATTGAGGGCTGGAAATTTAGTCATGTTATGGATTGATTGGGACTTGTCTAAAGCCTATTAAGTGGCCCCGTGTTGATAAGAACAACTATTGAGATGGATTTGCCCAAGGCGGGCCCTTAGCGCATTGAATTACCTTGGAATGAATGCGCGAATGAATGTGGGATTTGTTGAACCAAAGTGGAATTATATTGAATGTGCCAAGGATGCATTGAGTTCGTTGACTTGATGAAGCCGAGAGTGCGTTAGATTCATGGGCTCGGTAAATAATAGAATTTGGCATGTTGGTTTGAGTGTTGGCATGAATTCCCGAGTGTATCAATTGTTGGCCTACGGGTCGATTTATCAATTGTGGCCTTCGGGTCGATTTATCAACTGTTGGCCTTCGGGTCGGGCCTACGGGTCGTTATAATCAATTGTGGCCTTCGGGTCGGGCCTACGGGTCGATTTATCAATTGTGGCCTTCGGGTCGGGCCTACGGGTCGATTTATCAACTGTTGGCCTTCGGGTCGGGCCTACGGGTCGTTATAATCAATTGTGGCCTTCGGGTCGGGCCTACGGGTCGATTTATCAATTGTGGCCTTCGGGTCGGGCCTACGGGTCGATTTATCAACTGTTGGCCTTCGGGTCGGGCCTACGGGTCGTTATTATCAATTGTGGCCTTCGGGTTGGGCCTACGGGTCGATTTATCAATTGTGGCCTTCGGGTCGGGCCTACGGGTCGATTTATCAACTGTTGGCCTTCGGGTCGGGCCTACGGGTCGTTTTATCAACTGTGGCCTTCGGGTCGGGCCTACGGGTCGTTATCTCCAACTGTGGGCCTTCGGGTCGGTATAACTGCACGTGATTTGCGTTAATGTCAAATGCCTAACCTGCAGGGCTATGAGACAATGTATTGGGCTGTGAGCCCGGATGAAATTATGTTGATGTGCTGGTTCATTGGTTGATGCGTTTTATTTACCCTTCTGGAGGTGCACTTTAGCCTAGTTTAGAATTAGGGGTTTTGTACTTGCTGAGTTTTATCTCACGGTTGTTGGAAAACCGATATTTCAGACCCCCGGCAGTAAAGATGGCGGAGCCGCTCGTGCGTTTTGGGATTTCCCACTTCATCGAGAAGACCATGTCGGTTCATCCAGTAGGAGAGGGGAATATGTACATTAGGTATTATACTTTAGTATGGGCTATATCTTTTTGACTGAAGCCCATCTTAGTTCAGCTTAGTACCCTGGCCACTGATCCTTTTTGTTGTCTGAGGCCGCGACTCGTTTTGTTGTGGCTCTTTGTAAGTGGATACTGTATAAGCTTCTAAATGTTTATAAAAGAGTAAAGTTGTTTTTATTTGGTGATCGTTTATGTGCGGCTATCCTTGGTCTCTGTAAATTCTGTCTGGGTGATATATATTTACTTATATATCGTGCTTCCGCATGTGACGTGATCTCTGTGTTGGGTTTTGGGTCGATGACGTAACTTGGGAGCGCCGCACTACTATTTCGACCTATAAGCGGGATGCTCATGCTTCGTGGGGTACGGGGCGTGACAGATTCCCAGTAATGGGATTGGTTCATTATTGCCATAAGAGAGACGTCCCTCACGAAGTCGGAACCACTTAGCTTGCCATAGGAAAATCTTGGTTTTCGGATTTTTCAACAAATTTACCCATTCTGAGAAAGAAAGATTCGGAGTTCGATCCTGATGATTCTTAAATGCCTCAATAGGGTGATTAGACTCACTAATGTCATTGATATTCATGCGAATACCAAATTCACTTGTATGAGAGAAAAACCAGATTTGTAAAAGCTCGACAGGAGCACGGAAAACTTTTTCTTCATTTTCTTTAAATCGGGTGAGTGATAAAAATGTTTCAGCCAAGATAGTATTAACAAAGCTAACTCCACCACATACTTGTTTGACCACCCATGCAACGGAAGGATCAATAGCATTCTTGCGAAAGGGAAAAATTATGAACCCAAAGAAAGCTAGAAGGAAGATCTTACCTTTTAAAAGGGTCTCAGCATTTGCAAAACACTGACCTAAGAAAGAAAGTGGGCATGCATGGCAGTTATCTTTTAGCACCCTTCCGATTTGATTCTTGTTCATCCTAAGAGAGTCAGACAAAATTGATTCCGATTCAGACCTGAGGGGTGGATCGATTAACTCCAAATCCAAAGGTTTTCCTATGGCAACGCTATATTCTTCCAAAGTCGGAGTCAACTCATGCTTATGGAATATGAACGTGGACGTTTGGGGACACCAAAAATGGGCTATTGCTTGCATGACCCCACTTTGGATGTCGATGTCGAGAAGAGGCAAAAGGCGACCAAGTTTGTTCTCCACAT